CCTCGTTATTTGCACAATATGATCGAATGACATTAGAACACCTTAAAAATATTAATGTGAAACTTGCCAGAACAAAAATTTCAGATATGGGATTAGTAATTTTCAAGGATATCAACCAATAATATCCAAGAGTGCCTTTCTAAAATGAGACATTATTATGAGGAAACTCAGAATGGCTCCTCCCTGACTCACTCGGGTATAAGAAAAAGGAAGGGAAAAAACCGTTAGACTTGCAAGATTCTAATATAGAACTTAGTTCAAATTTTCTTGTGAAATCTATTTCCTGATTTGAACAAATTCGAAGGGCTAGCAGTTTTAGAAAGAGCTTTTGATGGATAAAAGCAAATGAATTGAATCATTCCAGACAAGATGGAGATGTTGTACATAGGAAAACCCACTAATTCAAGCAACAGATCCAATGTTCTTGATATGCAGAGGTATGGTACTTGAAAATCAAGAATAATACCTTTCCCCAATTGAAAACCAGGTGGAAGTTTCTACTAAAAGAGTCTCACAACATAGATTTAAATTTCATAGTTCTTTTTCTTCAGTAGATTTAAAATGAAGCCTTAAAACCATAATAAAAGAGATTTTAAAAAGTAAATGAATATCATTTTACGACTGTGCGTGTGCATTTATATAATTTCTAATCCCACTGTTACCATTTGCTGGCTGTTTACCCAGACTTGTTTATATTGGGACCTGACATAGATCATACCAATAATATATTTGTCATATTAAAAAAGTCATAGTTGTGCTTTATAAAGGTTAGTTCTCTCTAAACAGTTCTCTATCATACCTTTCTGTTGATATCCTTTATTAAACGCCTGCTCAATTCAAATTTAGTAGGAACTTAAGAATATGGGAAGAATGTAGGAAGCAGGTAAGAAAGCAGTATGAAAAAGAACAGCATAATGTAAAAGGAAACAAAACATTACTTTTAATGCCAAAGATAGTAATTCCAACTACAAAAAAAATAGCAAAAATGGTTCAGAGAAGTTTGCACTGCATTTAATTGAAATCACACAGATTTTTCATTCTATGGGACAATATTAGGCTATTGATGGATTAGCATACAGCATGGCAAAAGGGAAGACCAGGTTCAAAACCTTCCTAGCTTTGAAGCTTTGTGGCTAACCATAGCCAGGTGACCCCCAGTCTATACTACTTCACAAGATTGTTGCAAGGAGGCGGGATTTCATGTATTAAACAAAGCACCCTGAAGGAAAATTTAAATATAAAATCCATACAAATATATTTGTGTTTTTCTAGGTGATGACATGCATTGCTGAGGTTATTTCTAATACAGTAGCAAAGCCCAAACCACTCTCAATCAGCCAAGAATGCCTAGAAACTCTCCAAGGAGGTACATTTTCTTTCCGATTCTCTCTTACAGTATTGAGAAGTTAACAAGATTGAGTAATTAAGTTTTAAGAACATGTATGTCAAAAGTCACTTTTACATTTTTAAAAAAATGTGTAGACAAGTTGAACTCAAGTAACTGGTCTGCCAATGGAACTATGATGAGCAAAATCATTGCATGCCAGCTCAATTTGTTACTACTAAAATAATAAGCCTTTCTGTTCTTTCAGATGAAAGAATTCGTTCCATTCTTCGCCATCAAAACTTACTAAGGGAGCTTCAAGAGATTGCAGTTCAAGGTACAGTTCTATTGGAATTCTGTGCCTTTTTTGTGTGTGAACCGTCTACTATTATGGGAATATTTTTTTCAAAGTGATACAGATAGGATTATGTCTATACATAATGTGAGAATGCCACAAAATATTTCCCCTATTTTCAAAAAGGGGGAAATAGAAAGTGTAGCATAATGACAGACCAATCAAGTTGGCATCAATGTGTGATAAGATTGTAGGGTAGATCACAAGGAGATTGTAAACACTTTGAAAAGAATGTAGTAATTAACAGCATGGATTGGTTAAGAATAACAGAGTTGGAAGGGACCTTGGAGGTCATTATGTCCAACCCCCTGCTCAGGCAGGTAACCCTATACCATTTTGGACAAATGGCTGTCCAGTCTCTTCTTAAAAACTTCCAGTGTTGGAGCATTCACTGCTTCTGGAGGCAGGTTGTTCCACTGATTAATTGTTCTGTTGGGAAATTTCTCCTTAGTTCTAGGTTGCTTCTCTCCTTGATTAGATTCCACCCGTTGCTTCTTGTCCTGCCTTCAGGTGCTTTGGAAAATAGCTTGACTCCCTCTTCTTTGTGGCAGCCCCTGAGATATTGAAATATTCGATATTGGACCCTTAGATTTTACTTTTAGTACAGTATGCATTTGTAATGGTGAGGGGGCACATATTGATGATGATGATGATAACAAAAAAAGTGGTGAAAATGTTTCTACTCTTATTTTCCATTTCTGAATCAGGAGCAAGCGAAAGAACAGAGCAGCAGAAGAAAAACAGTGGATTTGAAGATGAGCTTTCTGAAGTCCTTGAAAGCCAAGGCAATGGGAACACAGAAAGAGGTTGATGTCAGCATAACCCCTACATAATCCTTCCCAAGCACTGTAAATGTGGATATTATTTCAAATAGCCTTGGGACGCACACCTGCTTCACAGCCAAACTGGTTTCTGTAACAACTGTGACTGGGTCATCTTCCCACTGCTTTCACATTGGTTCACAGCAAGGAAATTTTTTTTGATAACATCTAAAAACCTTCTGCGGTGCTGATCTTAGTTAATCCGGAAAAATTATATTACCAACAGCTACAAACACCATATTGCTTAAAAGTCTTCTTCTTTGCTTCTTTGTTGAGCAAAAATTACTTCAAATATTGACAACCCACACATGTTAAGAGCCAGGTGTAAATTTCTCCTTCCTGAATTGCACTATACAACAGATTAACAAAAGCCACACTTCTTCATAGATTCCAAATGCAGGAATATAACCACTGGTGTGCTGGTACATGTTTAATAATCAGCTCTGCTGGCCCTGTTATTGCTGCTGCACCAGACCACTAGTTGCAGAAGAGCTGATTAGTGCACTAGGCATGGTGACTCTGCTTTGCTCTCAACCAGTTCACAAAATTCCAGGAATCAGAATCAAAATCAGAATAGAGTAGAGCTGGAAGGGACTTTGGAGGACTTCTAGTCCAACCCCATGCTCAAGCAGGAGACCATACACCATTTCAGATAGGTAGCTGTCCAGTCTCTTCTTAAAAACAGTAAGTGATGAAGCATCCACGACTTCTGAAGGCAAGCTGTTCCACTGGTTAATTGTTCTCACTGTTAGGAAGTTACTCCTTAATTATAAGTTGACTCTCTCCTTGATTAGTTTCCATCCATTGCTTCTTGTCCTGCTTTCTGGTGCTTTGGAAAAGAGGAAAAAAAGGAAATAGGGAAAAGGAAAATTTAAATTTAATTGGCTTTTTCAAGCTAGTATAAGCCAGCTCCAGCACACTACAGGATATAATCAAGAACATATGCAACGTTAACATAGAGTAGAGCAATCATTTTAAAATTACTGTTAATGTCAACAAAAACAGGGAAATATGATAAAATATAGCCAGCAGTGTGCTGCAGACACCAAAAAAGCAAATGCAATCCTAGGCTGCATTAGCAGAAGAATCACAATCACGTGAAGTGTTAGTATCACTTTATAAGGCCTTAGTAAGATCACATTTGGAATACTGGACCCAGTTTTGGTCACCAAAGTATAAAAAAGATGTTGAGTTTCTAGAAAGAGTGCAGAGAAGAGCAACAAAGATGGTTGGGGGGGACGGAGGCTAAAACATATGAAGAACGGTTGCAGGAATTGGGCATGTCTAGTTTAGTGAAAAGAAGGACTAGGGGTGACATGATAGCAGTATTCCAATATTTGAGGGGCTGCCACAAAAAGAAAGGTTCAACCTATTTTTCAAAGCAAAGCACCAGAAAGCAGGACAAGAAGCAATGGATGGAAATTAATTAAGGAGAGAAGCAACCTAGAACTAAGGAGAAATTTCCCATGAAATGGGTTGCCTTCAGAAGCTGTGGGTGCTCCATCACTGGGGGCTTTTAAGAAGGGACTGGACAGCCACTTGTCTGAAATGGTGTAGAGTCTCCTGCCTGAGCAGGGGTTGGACTAGAAGGCTTCCAAGGTCTCTTCCAATTCTGTTATTCTGTTCTGTTGGAAAAGGAAGTGCAAATATCTGAGCTATTCTACCTTCCTCAGTTACATTTCAAACAGAAATTCTCTGATTGGTTAGATAGTATCATTAGCTCAATGAACATGAATTTGGGCAAGCTCTTGGAGATAGCAGAGAATAAAGGGTTGGGTGTGCTAGTCTATGGGTTTGCATAGAGACGGGCATGACTTAGTAACTGAACAACAAATTCTCTGATGTGTCAATGCACATGAAGATTTCTAGGGTTAGTGGGAATTAATCTAGTTTTAGGTTTGTAGCAAACTAATCACGTTTTTTGAAGAAATTGTAGGAGCAGAGCAAAGTTAGTCTGTGGTGGCAAAAAATCCAGAGTCCCAGGATACTTTTTGCAGACTTAAAGTGAAAGTTTTGGAGAAGTGATACTTTAACAATTCATTTCAGTTATATTTTTCTTATCCCATATTATAAAAAGAATTCTATCTAGACATTCTTTCGTTTGCATCGGAACAGAGAATAATTTGTAAGGTACCTATCGAAAAATCTTCCTGGGAATCCTTAACCAAGATAAACAAAGAATATAACTTAATCCACACCTTATACTTTTCTAAATTATGGCTAAAACCCAGTGATGTCGAGCCTCATTTACTCCAATTTATAGATAGGATAACAAATTCATATATTAATGGAATAGGATTAGAAATAGAATAGTCTGGTCTACCTTTAAAGCATGAAATATAACCTCGAAATAGTAAATTGGGGTAAAATATGCTGTTCAATGGGTTAAATAAAAGCAGGTAAGAAATAGAAAAAGAACATGTGAAATTGATGTACTTTGAGTTTGCAGTTCTGTTTTAATATGGCTTTCTATCCATCTTCTGTTTGTTTCTACTATTTTTGACTCTCAGATCCATCAGAGGGGACCCACAATGAGAAGCCAACTGCCTCTTTGGCTGAGCTGGAAACGGAAAAGTCTTTTCAGAATAAACAGGATGTTTTGAAAGAGGAGAGAAATAGCTTGGAAGAAAGAGAGCCAAGGATTCGAGGTGTTGATCCTGAGGATGAAAAGGAGAATATAACAGGGTTTGAGGGCAATGAAGTTGATGAAATGGAAGGCTTGCCTTGGAGTGATGCAATAGACAATCATATCAGTGACATCAGGCAAGATGATGTACTTAAGCCGACACACCAGGAAGATGAAAAAGTTGCAGAGACAGAGGAATCTGAGGATGAGGATGAGCATGTTTTCAAAGAGAGTCAGGAAGAAAGGAAGGAGGAAGAAGATGGCAAGATCAGAGAGCAGGTTGAGAAGGAAGAAGAGGATGAAGAAGAAAAGGATGAAGAAGAAGAGAAAGAGAGGAATGCTTCTGAAGAGGAACATCCTACCAATTCAGATAATGTGGATGATCAAAGGGAAGATGGTATGTCTATCAGTCTGGGCTCAAACTTGACTTCTAATATGTGGAGTGGACCCATATTTGCCATCTTTTAGATTTTGGCTGAAGCAAGTCTATTGGGGAACTTCCTTGCTAGATAGCTTTTCCTCACTGCTGATGACAAATTAATGATTACTTCGCATTTTGCAATCTTATCCTGCCAGCGCTACTAGCTTTGGGATTAACTAAAGCAGAACATATGGATTTAGATATCCAAAATGATAGAGTCATTGTTCCCCATCGCTTTTATAGCATAATTTCTCCTTCTCCCTGGACTGTTCCTAAGTATATTTTATATATTCTTCAAAATAAGCTGTTTTCTTTGGCCAAATTGAGGCACTATCTATTAAGACAACATCTAATAATAGATCCCTGGTGGTGCAGTGGTTAGAATGCAGTGTTGCAGGCAAACTCTACCCACAGCCTGGAGTTTGATCCTGACGGGCTCAAGGTTGACTCAACCTTCCATCTTTCTGAGGTCAGTGAAATGAGGACCCAGATTGTTGGGGACAATTTGCAAATAATGTTTTTACATTATAAACTACCCAGAGAATGCTGTAAAGCACTATGGGACAGTATATAAGCCTAAATGGTTGGTGGCTTCAGGGTTCTTCCTCTGCCTTTTTAAGTTTTTAACTTACAGTATTTATACACTGTTTTTAACTTTGTTTTTATGTATATTTTTATTTGGCTGTATGGCTTTTATTTGCAAATCACCTAGAGCCACTTAGGTGAAATGGACAGTGTATAAATTTGATAAATAAAATACATAAAAATAAATATGTAAGTCTCCCATATAAAAACCAAACTTGTTTTTGGTCAAACTTGGAGCTAGAATCTATCTCACGTATGCTATTAAAATGTCTACTGTACAGTCAATGGTGATTGAACTTAATACATGTACACAACTCTAATTTTCATTGCAACCTGGAGGCCATTATCCTTCTTCTGGTTGACCACTCTTGAGAAACCTCTAAGAAGATTGCAAAATTTTTATCTATAGTCCTGGCTATTGTAAACCATCTGATACCTCCCTCATGCTATTGAATATTAGCTGTTCATTATTTCAGTATTTATCTCACATTTTTATTCCTTTTTACAGATTTTGTAAATACAGATATTGTATTGTTAGTCTTTTTTCTTATATTTGGACTATAAATGAATTTTGATTGATTGCAATGAATATGTGGGATATCAATTTTAGTGATTTTTGTAAAAAAACAAAAGAAAACCATGCTCCCTACATACATTTATTTCTAGCTTCAGCAAATAAGACTGTCACCAAAGATATTCTCTAATCTTCTCCAAATAATAATTCAGCCTTTCATAATATAGTGCCTCCAGTTCTGTAGGATTTCAATTTCCAGCAAAGGGATATGTTAGCTGGGAAATTATAAGAATTGCAATCCAGCATTGCTACAGGAAATAAATTGGAGAAGACATACGTTCTTATTTGAGAAGCATATTTGAGCCCTGCAGGAAACAGTTTTCTTAAATACTGGGGTGACAACAGAGAAGATCTTGTTTCTTATATGTAAGCTCTTAATTGTATATGACAGGAGCAGGTGTCAAAGGAATAGAAATAGTTTCTTGTGTTAAACAGAACTCATTATGAATTTAAAAGTTAATATCAACAATGTTAACAGCCAGTAGTTACAACATATCACGTATGGAGTAAAACTATATATTAAAATATTTTGCATCAACTATATTTCTAAACATGAAATAGATATTATAATACTGTAGTCATTTCTGTAATTTACTAAAGTCTAAATTACAGTGGTTAAATCTCCAATCCTGGGCAAACAAATGAAACAATTCAAAGCTGATAGAAGGCTCACTGAACTATAGCAATTGTCCACACTAATCGAGAGTTGTAGTCCAGTGTTCTCAGATGCATATGATTGGGGACAGTTGCCACAGGGTAACTATGCAATCCTCAGAGGAAGTATTGTGGTGGTGCAGTGGTTAGAATGCAGTATTGCAGGCTAATTCTGCCAATTGCCAGCAGTTCGATCGTTGACTCAGCCTCTATCCTTCCGAGGTCGGTAAAATGAGGACCCATATTGTTGGAGAGAATATGCTGATTCTGTAAACCGCTTAGAGAGGGCTGTAAAGCACTATGAAGCGGTATATAAGTCTAAGTGCTTTGCTATTCCATTGTGATGGCTAACTGAATTAACCCCCTGTGCATACTGAGATCCTAATTGATTTTACAATAATTATGTATAACAAAGCAAGTTACACCGAAGATGGTTAGGATTCAACATCATTTTCTGCCCTAATGAAAGAGTAGTTAATATGGTAAACTGGACTCAGTGCATCAAATCTCATTCCTCATCCAGGTTAAGAAAAAATAATTATAGTTATGGAAAATGGCTTCTCTCCTTATATCTATTTTCCTTATAGATAATCAAGATGATGGCAAATATTTCTCAGAAGAAAAAGATAAATATCATAATGTGAAAAGTAGAGAGCATCGCTTTCTAGATGGAACAAGGCAGGATGATGACTCCTCCCATGACAGCGATTCCAAAAGTGAAGAGATGGAAAAAACCTCTTTCCAAGATGTAGAAGATGCTAAGAGATGGAACAAGATGGATGAGCTGGCCAAACAACTGACTACTACAAAGCGTGCAGAGGAGAATGAAAGTGATGAAGACCCAGATAGATCCATGAAAATGGCTTTCAAATCCCACAACACAGTTGACTTCCATAACTCTCCAGAAGATGAAGCAAGGAGGCTTCAGAAGCATCATTCAAAAGAGGACAGTGAACAAGGTTTTCCACTTCTTCCCATACCTGAAGAAAAAAAGGATGAAGAGGGAAGTGCAAACAGGAGGACAGAGGTAGGTTGACACATTCTTGTGGAAACCATGTTTTGAATAAAGTGTCAAAAGCCAGAAGAATGCTGAAAATTATTAGGTAAGATGTCCAACTTGCTCTAGTCAGTAACAGAAACCCATCATCATCAGCACCAGGGTGCTGTTACTTAGAGGTGGAAAGAAAACAAGTGACAGCCTGCGGCACTTATTTCATTTGGCCTCACAATAGAGTTAATTTTACTCAAGGCAACATATAAAGGCTTGTCCCACCCCTTTTCTAGTTCTCCTTTGGTGCTCTGTAGCTGCAGAGCTTTGTATCCAAAACAAAATAATCCCACTTAATGAATCACAAAACCAGGTGATTATTTCTTTTTTTTTCCCTATTCTATTTTGGCTTGCTTGCACCTTTCTGGAATTGCTTTAACAATGCAACAGGGAATCAACAAGATAACCTTGGTAACAGTTGCTCAGGTACCAGTAGGAGAAGAAAACTCTTTGCTATCAGCTGAGTACAAGGTGAAAAAAGAAGAGTGGAAAAAACTCTTTGTCTCATTGATCCATACTTGTTTGGCTGTACGGGTGGGAGGAAAATGAAACATGACGGGGGCACATCCATTTAGACATGTATATGCATTCATGCAAGAACAATAGTGGGGCTACTAAAGACAGTAACCATCAGTTGTAATATTCATGAAGTACTGTATTTCACAATCATGAATTCTTTTTGGCATCAGGAAAATCGACTTTTTCTTATGGTTTTATCCTGTGGACTGAATTCAGCAGACAGGATCTTGTGAATATTCTTGTGCTTGGCTCCACATAACCACTTCGTGCTGCAGGCTGTACTCTCCCAATATCCAGAACAGTAGAATATCCCTAGGAATGAAGCCAGAGAAGAATCATAGTAGGCACTGAAAGTTGAGGTTCAGTCCTTAACTATTTTAGGTTAGGCCGATAGGTCTTCTTGGGAATTTGAGGAACTGTTGCCAGATAGTACAGACCGGTCTTCCTTAAATTGTAACCTGTATCAGGTATAACCCCTCTCTTGGCACTTGCAATAAGCTAATTGATATAGGATGTGAATTTGACTGTAGAGTTATGAGAATTATATTCCAAAACATCTGAAGTTGGAGGACTAAGTTGGAGGAAGATAGGCCCTTACTCTAACTTGATAGAAATCAGCTTTATAAATGCATCTAGCTCAGTGGTTCTCAACCTTTTTAATGCTGCGACCCCCAACCGGTCGTAAGTCGAGGACTAAACCGGTCATAAGTCGAGGACTAAACCGGTCATAAGTCGAGGACTGCCCAACCGGTCGTAAGTCGAGGACTTTCCCTGCCCGCATGCGTGGTTCTGCCCCCTGCGCCGGCTGAGGCGTAGCTGGCAAGCGGCAGAGACGGAGCAGGCCGACCACCAGCTGGCCCAGCCCAAGGGAGGTAAGGCACCCACCGGAAAAGGGAAAAAAAATGGCGGACAGCCTTGCTTGGCAACCCCCGTGAAATGGTTGTTCGACCCCAAATGGGGTCGCGACCCATAGGTTGAGAACCGCTGATCTAGCCAACATTGGCTGAATTCTCAAAAGTTAAGCAGTTGAATCCATTGGTTAGTACATGGATGGAGATCAACAGTAAAGTGAATACATCATTTTGCTATAATGATTTGCATCATTAAACTTCTTTTTTTCTCTTTTAGGACCAAGAACTGGAAAGCTTGGCTGCAATTGAAGCGGAACTGGAGAAAGTTGCCCGCAAGCTCCACGCCCTGAGAAGAGGTTAATGCTTTGACAACATAACATGGGAGCAAAACATCAGAAATGTTGAATCACTGTTTTAAACACTGCATTTTATTTTAAGACAATAAAGTAATAATGGAGGAGGCGATTTTTTTTTTTTTTTGCAAAAGCCTGTATTACAACAAAAAACAGCCATTTCTCTTTTTTCTAGTTGTGATGCTTTTTTGCTTTTTGTCATAATTTACTTATTTGCTTTCTGCTTGCTTTACTAATCATTTTATTTTATAATGTTTGGATTATTGCATAATAAGCAGTATGATTTAACATACGTATTCTCTGTTGCAAAAAGAAAAAAGGATTTATAGTTTCCTGTTATTTCTTTTCCCCTCCTCTCTTCCCTTCATTATCAGCTTTCTAGAATTATTTCTCCCATTAGATTTCCTGGATAAAATTACTTGCAATAACTTGTTAACATTCAGATTTAAAGATAGCACTCTTGACTGCAATATATTCTACGTAAAAACTTAAGGAGAAAAATAAAAGACACAATCTTGGTCTCCCTTCTTTGCCTATTTCAGCTGCAATCTAATGTACTTTTAGATAACATTTTCGCAAAGACTCAAGACAGTGCAGTGATTAAAGTGCCGATTCTGGATTCTGTATATGGATATGGATTCACGCACAATTCCCCTGGTTTTTTTGAATAAATCTAATCGTTTTGTAAAGTAAAAAAATAGCTCAGTGCACTGAATGAACTTGGCCTGCGTATGAATGCTGGGTGGCTGGGTTCAATTCACTATGTTAAGAAGGTAACAAGGAGAGTTGTAGTTTCTAAAGCAGGATGGACAATTTGCAATATGCAGGCTTCAATAATTTTTCAAATAGCCTCTTCAAATGATTTGTATCCACCTCTGCTATAGAAAGTGAAATGTTTCTTTTAGCAGTCCACTGAATTGAGAGGAAGACACACAAAGACAGAAATCAAAGTCTATGTCTATTCCTAAAATGTAACCCTTTGCCATCTGCAGATCAACTGTGCCAGCCAAGTGTAGGAGTATAAGACCACAGTATTCATCAGTGGGATGGGTCATTTTGATAGCACTGTCAATAAACTGTCCCAATGCCTGGAGGCCATAAGAGTCTGGATGGGGAGTAATACTAAATGGCTATGGATATCTGGGCCTCCTAGAATTGGCGATGAGGATTTAGCTTTCTTAAGAGTTGCCCCTTCCAAAAGATTCTGGGGCATCTCATAACACCCAAAATACAATTACAAACACATCCATCTAGGTAGGGTTGTATTACCTCACGTAAGGCTAATAAGCAGTTTGAGGTAAGCAGTTTGAGGATCTTTTGGACCTGCAACTTCTGCTTGAAAAATAGGTGATAGCTCCGGGCAAAAAAGGCATTTACATAGATCCACCTTGTATTCTAATTGTACCCTTTTGACTACAAGTGCTTTTGTCATTTCACATATGGACAATTGTAATATGCTTTTATACAGAGTTGACTTTGAATACCTCAGAAGCTGCAGCTAATCCAGAACGCAGCAACTTGGGCAGTTACTGGTATGCTTCAATATATCCCAGATCTTTGATTTGGGAGATTCACTGGTTAACAAAAGGCTTTCAAGTATAATTCAAGGAGCTGGTTATTACTTTTAAAGCCCCTCACAGCATTAGGCCTGGCTATTAGATACTTGAAGGATTATCTCCCAGTGTTAATCTTTTCCATCTGATCTGATGGAATTAGCATGCCCAGGTCCTGTTGATGTCACCCAATGGGACCCAGGATCTAGTGATGCCACCCTCAAAATCTCTCAAAACTTGGTTTTTCTCCCAGGATTTCAATTAGTTTTATGGGTGGAGTCTTCAAGTGTACTTATGTAGTTGTGGAGGTATACCAAGCCATTTTTGATCATTTTCATTCATTTTTAATATTGTACATTGCCCAGAGCTGATTTGAATTGGGTCTTCCTATAAATCTAATAAATTATATTGTCACGCTAAAAAGTTGGAGACTGCATTCCTGGTACCTCTGATAAAAATTAACTAGCAGATGATTTTCTGGTTAAGATTTCTGGAGTGCATAAAGTGAGGACTATAGGGTTAGGTAGCCTGATCTCACCGAAATGGAAATAAGTGCTTGGTGCCAAAGTTTAATAAATTCACACCATGTTACAATCTCTTAGAGTATAAATAATTTAGGTATATAAAGGTGTATCACTAAATTCAGATATACAATATTTCAGTCATTAACCAGAAGACAGAATGAGGTTTTGTATAAGGCATTTATTTTAATCATGTTTTTGGAAAATGGAGTTTTCTCTCTGAAGCAGACATTGAAACAACAGAGGAGATTTAAGTGCATTTTAACTCTATGGTTAAAATAGTAAAATATTTGTCACAAGTGTTTGGTAAATAAGGAGAAAATGGAGAAAAAAGATTATGGAAATCAATGATTTAAGCAAGAGAAGCACCATGTGATTATTGAGAAGGACGTCAGTCATGCACTACAAGTAAACAGCCAAGGAACTAATATTTTTGGTTTTATATAGGGCTATTTTTAAAAAATGAAATCATATATATTCATATGCATGTATAAATAGGCATGTGTGTATTGATGGGTACACACACTCTAAATACAAAAGAATTTAATTTTATGAAAGTAATTTTGTGAACAGGGCCAAAGCAAATCACAACACTCACACTTGCTATAACACTATCTAAAATAGCAGAAGACAGCATTAATATCCTTAATTCAAACATGACATAATAAAGAAATGGTCCAAGATAACTTCAACTTTGAACTGATAAAATGCTTAAGCATGCCTTAAAGTTTTGTAAAACTTCCCACAACTTCTGTCCCATCCAAAAAATAAAAAGGAGAAGGGAAGAGGAAAAGGGGCAAGAAAAAGAGATGTACAATCCATATTAGCGTAGAGATGAGCCCAATTCACTGGAACATTAACTGGAATTGAACACAGGAGGAGATATGTGAACTATATGAAAACACCAAGGAAGAAATGCAAAGAACTGGGAAAAAAATACATCTCATATTTTTTACCACTTTTTTAAATAAAAATGATAAAGAATCCCTATTAAAGGGCGCACACAATCTCAAATATAGATGTCATATTTTTATACTTACATATTTGCATTTTATAAATATGACTTCCTTCACATACTAAACAAATACACTAAGATGTTGCTGCGCAAATGGTGAAAGATACAAGTGCCAATGGGCCATAAATTACTTGCAAACAAGTTTCCTTCTGCACCCAATATCCTTATTCATTATAACATATAATATTTTGGTAGTGTTTTCTAAAGTAAAATCTAACAGCGCATTGAGAATTTATGTCTCAATTTTTCATTAAAAGCAAATTGTTAAATTATGCTCTGTTAAAATAAGATTAAAAAAAACAATCACAAGGAAAATAGATGTAATTTACAAAAGTGGGTTTGACTAAAGGAAACTTGTATTACAAAATACTAGTTGGTCCTTTGAACATAGTAAATAACCAGTGCTGTCCTTGTTCCTTGACTATACTAATTCAAACTGCAGGTGAGTTTGTACTAATTGAATTCTTCACTATAAACACACTGCAATTTTAATTCTGAAAACTTGAATTGAATGGAAACTGAATTCAGTATTACATAATCCAGGAATAACTTTCTTCTCTTCTTGTATATTTTTAGTCCCAACTGCATACAGAATAATGTTTTATAAAGCCATTGTTAAGTAAAGTATGTTAGCTAAGTTTATTGAGATACTGAGGAAGGAATGTTCTATTATTGAAAACTGGACTGGTTTATACTGATTTGCCATTTTGAAACACAATTCAAAAATTCGAAAATAAAATATTTAGTAAAGAAATGCAAAGAGTCTCTGAAAAAGTTAGCACTCAGTTTCTTTGACACAATCATGGGTGATTCCTGCCCTCATGAGGACTACATTTCTCAGGAAAATTGATTTTTCAAATTACAGCTGTAAGATGGTCAATTACATATTGTGACAGACTGAAATATTACTTGCAAAGTAAACCAGTAAAATTTAAATTTTGATACACTTAAAAAAAATGGGAGAGTACACTGTCTCAAAAGAGGAAGTCCTTTTACAAAGAAAGTTATTTCTTCTTGAACACCACCAATTTTATACATGATGGGTCCAAAAAAAGATTCTGCAGGCAACAAATCAAATAATTCATTCATATTTATATGGATGGAAAAAGGAGGGAGAAACTAAAAACAGAAGGGAGTAGAACAGCTATATGAAGTTAGCAAAAACAATAAAAAATTAGTATCTTGATATGGTAGGTACGTCCAACATTCTTTCTTCATATATATAGCTCAATGCCATAGCATATTTTGAGAATAAAAAGTAAGGAATGTCTATTCCTTTTGAATATCACTGGGACATCAACAGTTACTGCTTTACATTCCCAGTGAGAGTGGCTCAAGAACCTTTTTCTAGAAAAAAAGGGGATTTAAAAATCGATGTCAAAACATCAACCTGGCACTTCTGAAAACAGCATAATTTTATTCTTTAATATGTTTGGGAGACCAAACTCAATCCACAGGTGTCTGCCACATCATGTACCTGTTTGCGCTTACTAGCTCATACAATGATGTCAAATGAGAATAGGCTAGCAGTAGAACTGAGCATGATATAAGCATTCTGCGAAAAGATCTTACAAGACGCTCAGAACAACCTACAGTAATCTGCACTTCTGAGTTATCAGGCGTGGAAGGGAAGCTGCCAACTAGGAGAACCCTTGCTTATGGCAAAAGTCTTGTTGATTCAGAAAAACCTTAATCTGCTTATCCAGATGACGTTGAAAGAAAAAGCCCAAGATACACTTATCTAAGAGAGTTTTATACTATGTGTCTAAAAAATAATTACGTTATTCAGATAAAGTATATGTTTTGTTCTGATGTTATGTAATTAATAATTCTAGTTAATTATTTCTTAGTTTATCTTTAAAAAAAGTAGATTTCCAGTATTTATTAAATGAATTACCATTTATAACTGATTGTATAAAGCAAAGGAACAACAGCATATACTGTATAAAATGTACACTGATTGGCATATTTTGAAATTGACTTGAAAAGAGATTTAAAATCTTTTTAAATATGACCTTTAGATTATTTTGATATAAAAAGTATATTTGTTGCAGATCAAAATTTGTAAGTTTAACCATTTTCAGTACCAACCATTTCTCATGTTATAGTTTGGGTAATCTAGCAATGGAGCAGATATTATTCACTCACATAAATCTAACATGTAATCTTCCTTAGATTTTGAACAGAATGTGATAACTCAGGTTTACTGAGTTTTTACATTTTTTAGCTCTTTTTAATCACATTAAGATTTTTTTGAAAATTTTACATCCAAACACTTATTTCTATGATAAAGAAGATGGACTGGTTTCTGGTAGAGATTTAAAGTATATTACTGAAAATATGCTTTACAAAGAAACATTCTAATGAGAGGCACAAAAGTTTGTAATGTATATACTGGAAAGTATGGGAGGGAGGGGAATATTTAAAATAGTTGCTTCTTATTTTGTTGCCACAAGTAGTGATGCAGTTATGGATAGTTACACTTTCTTAAACAAATTAAACATGAATGCTATTTGTGTACATTTAAGCCTGTCTACTTTCATTATCCTTCAATATTTAACAACATTAGTAATGCTTCTTTGGGGACCTACATGCATTGGCAATATTTTTGCTATTACTCAATAGACTCTCAGAAGTAGAGCTGGCCTTTCAGACTGAAACAAAAATTGGAATCATACAACCAAACTACCACCCTCCTCCTCTCCCAGGGCTTTCAGAAGAAAAAAGAAAGACACATTTCTCTTCAATCGCTATGACATGTTTCTCAACCTTGACAATTTTAAGGCATGTGGACTTTAACTCCCAGAATTCCACAGCCAGCAATGCTGGCTGTGGAATTCTGGGAGTTGAAGTCCACATGCCTTAAAATTGTCAAGGTTGAGAAACACTGCTCTATGACAAATGTGAGGCTGTTCAGCACATTCCAGTTCTCATATAAAACTGCCCTTGGGGAGGAACACATGGCGGTGTATCTAGATTGAAAAAGAGTTCAAGAAACTTACTGCAACAAAACAGAGATGAAATAATTGATTTTGCATTCATTTTTTTTAGTACCATATGCTCATTGCTCTGTAATGTAATAGCACACTGTGCTTTCTCTGGAACCTGACAATATTATTCATATTTTATTCCACACAGAATAGTCTGATAGAAAAAAAAATCACAGAAAGGATAGCAAACTGTCTGCTGGTCAGCCCACTTGCAATGCCATCTTATTAAACTAAATGCAAGATATGAACCCACTTTGTCTTTTTTTAAATAAGCAGCAGTTACATCAAAGGGTGAAGGAAGCTGACAACCTATTTGGCTACAGAATTAAATTAGACTCTAGTTAAAGTCAAGATATGAACTGCACTTTTATAAGATATACTTTGTATTAAGACTTTGGAGAATTTACGAAATATATCATTTGTAAATAAATATAAAATGTACAATTACATATCAGTAGTTTATTTTGGAGAAATAAAAACAGTGCAAAATAGGCTAGCCAAAATTTAGAAGGCAGACATTAAAAGAAATTCTTAGTCATTATTAAAAATAGGAAATAGCAGAAAGATATTTAAACAGGATCAAATAGTCCAGGCTGATCAACAGTTTTGAAATGTCTTCTAACTAAACCAGATGGAACAATCTTTTTCTCAGCTTGCTCACCTCAGAACTGAAATTTATTGGGTAAATGATAATGATGTGGGGGAGTTTTTTTCCCCTTAAAATTACAAATATTGTCATAATATCCCTCTGAATCAGATAATATTGCTTGTTCCCTGAAGATATACCAGAAGAACTAAATTATTTTGCCTCTTTCTTTGGCTCTTCCACAAACTGTATAATAAAACAAGATGGTTTGAACCCTATTGCAAATTGCTAGTTTCTTGATCCATGCAAGCAGTAGTCAAGGAGGTAGTATTTTTGGGAGGGGGGGATGGCAATGCTCAGTACAGCAATGAAACACTCTTGCCTTAATTAATGTTATAGGGGAGAGAGACTCGGCTATGTTCAAAGGTGCCTTTCATTAGGACAATTGTGGCTTGTATTTTGTGTGTGTGTGTGTGTGTAATGTTAAAATCCTATCATTTTTTTAATATCAAAAACTTTTAATAGTGTTGCTATATTGAAAAAAAGTTTATGAATATACGTCTGACCTATTTTTCACTCCCACCAAAGGCATGTAAAATATGCATGGGCAAATATCAATAATTTATTGGGAAATTGCAGCAACTGTTATTATTAAGACAATAATTCAGGATCATATGACTCAAATTTGAAATAGAAATAAACAAAATGACTATATAGTATCATATAAGAAGCCTTTCTACAAATATTGTCTTCTCTTCCGCTATTTATAGTCAATACCTACTGCAAAATTATGAAGAACTTTAGAAACAAAATCACAAAGAAGCATAGCAATTCTCCTTCCTATTAATTCTTGAACAGTTTCCTGCACTTACACTGTAGTTTAGAATCATTTCTGGTCCTTTCTTTTTAACCTCCCTTTCATATTTCATCAGATATTTCCATTTTTTCCCTTACTCTAAAAACAAAGAAACAAATAAAAAGCTGCCATCAGTGGAGGAAAATATATTAATATCAGTTCATACATATTAAGAAATGGGTCATCTTTATAGGAACTGAGAGAATCTGAGAATTCAAACTTTCTTTAATCCAACAAAAACACATAATGTTGCCTGTATGCAAATATTACCAATATATTATCCTTTTAAAAATTGGGATTCATGTGTACAACTTGTAGTATGTATGTAGTATACATTCACACTACTACCTGAGTGTGAATTAGTCCATAGATCCCTAATTCATGATGATCAATCTTTCCAAATGTATCTAAATACGTAAAATATTTTAACAATGTTTCCTGAGACAATTTAAAGATTGTCTCAAATTAAGAGTCCCAAAACTCATTCACAGTACCTTTTCAAATTCATGACCAGTTCAAAGCTGCACAAAGACGATGTGTTGAAAGAAACAGAGTGAAAGATGCACAGTTGTTTTGTTACTTGTTCTTAAAATATAGCCAGACTGAATTACAGGTTAGATAAATATTACCCTTATACTGTATCTCAAATGTTCAACTCCACAAATGATAGACCAGAAATGGAGACAGACTGCTGCTAATTTACTTTAACAAATTTACTTTTACTTCTACCCACCACTAAGAAAAAATACTTGTGCAGAGTAGTGCTTACAAACAGGCCCCTAGATCACATGTAATGCTAATCCACAATTTGAGTTTCTTGTTTAACATGATGCACAAGTCCACTCTAACAAAGAAACCATGATTTATAAATCATAGTGAATGGATCTGTGCACCATACAAAGCTAAAAATAAGTCACCCTATCAGTTAATAAATACGTGAAAGAGATGTCCTTTTGTCTCAGGATCAGTAAAGCAGCAGAAAAAGAAAAGGCCAAACTTCCTAGCTTGTTCTTATGCCAGATGTGGTAATCCTCCAACAATTATGGAGTCCTCTGCCCCAAATGAGATTAATGGCAGTATTACATCAACCTATAGTTTTTCACAAGAGCAAATAAACACCCACACATTCTTCTTTTTCAGGGAAATGGAAAACCATCTGAAGCAGTTTCGAACTTCAAAGTTTTCCACAAAGAAGTAAAATGCTGATCTTGGGTATGCAGATTTCCTCTGGATTTAGGTGTACAATAAACACATGTTTTACTCTTTGGAATGGGCTTTTTGGAAACAAAGATGGAAGGGGGTTGAATCCAAGTGTGCAAATTTTCAACACAAATCCTTATCAGTCCGGCACAATTCATCACCCAACTCTGGTCAATGATTACAAAGAGAAGAAAAAGGCATGGGAAAAAGACAAATCCATCCTCCCACATTAAGATATAGTGTTTAAGATACATGCACACAACAGGCACCCATACATGGATGGATAAACTCACTATAGAATAGGGGTCCTCAAATTTGGCCACTTTAAGACTTGTGGACTTCAACTCCTGGAATTCCCCAGCCAGCATGGAGTTGAAGTCCACAAGTCTTAAAGTGGCTAAGTTTGAGGACCCCTGCTATAGAACTATAAGAGGAATCTGTTAAAATGGACCCATATCACTAATTTCACTTTTCTTTCAAAAAATTACATGGAATTCACAGCCCAGGGGCTGATGGCCTTCTTTCTCAGTCTGTGGCACAGAGAGGGATCACTGAGAGGAAGCTTTCGTGGCCAATGTGGCCACACAATGCTGCTGAAAGCTTGGTGACATGGATGAGTTACAGCCCAGCCTTTGGTGCTGCAACTTGACTGAGCTGCTGGTCTCATTCTCTACAATCCAGGGGTCTTGGCTTGCCCTGCTCCGGCAACCAGTGTTAGCACAGCACGTCCGCTCCCCCACGAGGCTGCTGCTCTGCTCTGCCAGGAATTTGTTATGGTTCAGCTGGGACAACTCTGGTGTTTGCTCCTGCAGGGCAGTAGCTATATGATTCAGGAGGTCGGTGAAAAACTCTGAGACACCTTCATATCCTGAAAGTAATGAAGAAGTCAGGAGATAAAACATTAGTTATGACTACCATTTTCTTAAAGTTCTCCTCCCCCCTTCATACTCAAGAAGATGGCCTACAGCAGGGGTAGTCAACCTTGGCTCTTTTATGACTCGTGGACTTCAACTCCCAGAATTTCTGAGCCAGCTTAGCTGGCTCAGGAATTCTGGGAGTTGAAGTCCACGAGTCATAAAGGAGCCAAGGTTGACTACCCCGGCCTACAGCGATATTTCACCAAATTGTGTCCTCTACCTCTTGAAAATATCACTGTTTTTTTCCTTTTAAAAATATCTTTAAAATATCTCCCATATTTTATTTCTCCGACTCCCAAAACTGTTAAGTGCTCTTTTTAAAAGTACAAACGTTTTGCAGACATCTCTGAACAAAGGAAGATCTAAGAGACTGTTTCTTTTCTCCTGATCAATGTTATTGATATTAATTGGTGCTTGACTGCTATAGAGATAGGCACGGGACTCAGTTTAGATGGAAAGATCACTGGGGAAATAAAAACCTTGCTTCTCCAAAGGTGATGCTACAGTATAGTGATATAAAACATATTGCTAGATTCCTGCCATGCTTTTAAGAGATATTATTTTTTTCCAGATAAATGATAATTCCTCTTGACAGAGTAGGATAAACATACTATAGAGAGAAATCTGGACATTTTTAAACACAATGGCAAGAAATGTTAATCTAAACACAAGAGACATATCCTGAAATTTTTGTTTTGTTACTTAAAGAGTTTAAATTCAAAGAACTAACTTTCCATTTTCAATCAAAGTCTTATGCTGCCCTTCCAACTTAGCATTATATATTGTCCCATTCCACCTCTTGTTCTCAGGAGTAGCTGCTCTCAGAAGTTGTACGTTGCATGTAAAATGAATTTTGTCTTACGTTAGTGCTTCTTGTAAAATTGTTTAATGTAATATAAATCTTAGTCAGAAATATATCTGCTGTTGTAAAAGGTGTATGTGAGCAGTGTACGCACAATGTAATGCGATCATTTGGGATTTATTGGGATGCTGCAATTCAACAGATGTCATTTTAAATGTCCTATGAAGTCAATTTCACTGGAAGGACCACTTAATTTTGGGTAGAAACAGTTTTGTATGCAAGAGACCACCAGGTTGAGACCTATAATTTTTACAGTTAAAAGGATAAAGAGTAATATGGGTAGGAGAAAACTCCTTGGCTGATAGTCAAAGGAAAAAAACCTCTTTTAGCATATAATCAGCTCTAGACTTAATGGTCTCAGAACCTGAATCATTCCCCACTCCTTTTTTAAAAGCAAGGAAAACGACAGTATTAGCAGATGCCCCCTGTGAGAAAATAAATGATTTAATTTGCTGAAGAAAATTAGAATGAATTTGCTCTGCAGAATTGTTAGGGAATTATCAGTGACAATAAGAACAGCTTGGAAGCCCAAGACCAAATAGTAGGTCTAATGAATGCTTACTACTGGCACTAAAATAAAACTGAAACCACACTGATTTGGGAGAATAGGGTAGGTTTGTTTTTGTGAAGCACATCCCAAGATTATAACATTCTTGTTCATATCTTAAATAGATAATAGCAGAGCTCTTCTGAAGTGTTCTTGAACTTCAATGTATACTTTTTAAAAAGATAAGTTTTTAAAAATCTAGCATTTCTATTGCTCCTGTTCACAGTTCGGTATGATTCAGTTTCTAAATGTAATAATTAAATAAGCAAATAAATAAATAGCTTTGCAGCCTGTGTTTCTTAAGAGTACCAACTTATTTGTAGACCAAATGAAATCGATAGAAAAGTAATTGGTTTTTGACTGATGGGAAGGTTTTTGATTTGGGAGTGCCCAAGTGGCTGGAAATACTTAATGCTACTAGAGAAACCAAATGGAGCTGATCAGACGGTGATTGATAATATCTAGAGGCAGCCAGTCAGCTGAAAGGAGGAAAAAGGCTGGTGTTAATTAGATCACTAATGAAATCAGCTACAGGGCTGGAGACAACAAGAATATACTGAAGCAGTGAATAAAAACAAAGTTTGCCTTCTGCATTAATTTACAGTTTCATAAGTACACTTTATGCAAACTTTCCACACCTTAAGTGTGCCTCAGATACATGGACACAGGTGACCTGAATGATGATCATGCCAGTGCAGCAGTACCCAGGTTGGGGAAAGTTAAGACAATTCATAAGAACATATTGCATCTGAATATGTATTTTGCCAAGTCCCGATGACCTTGTTAACTTTCCAATGTCAGCCTTACGTAGCATGATCAATAACAAGAGATCACATCCAAAACTTTCAAAAAACATAATCTGCCTACAATCTTGTGTGTGTAGAGTCATACTTGTGACCACAACTGAGCCCAAAATTTCTGTTGCTAAGTGAGTCATTTGTTAAGTGAGTTTTGGCCCATTTTATGTCCTTTCTTGCTACAGTTGTTTAGCGAATCACTGCAGTTGTTAAGTCAGTAACACAGTTTTAAGTGAGTCTGGCTTCCATATTTACTTTGCTTGTCAGAAGGTCACAAAAGGTGATCACCTGTCCCCGGGACTGCAACCATCATAAATATGAGTCAGTTGCCAAGCGTCTGAATTTTGATCACGTGACCATGGGGATGCTGCAAAGGTCATAGGAGTGAAAAATGGTCATAAATCACTTTTTTCAATGCCACTGTAACTTTGAATGGTCACTAAATGAACTGTTGTAAGTCGAGGGCTACCTGTATTTAGATCTGTAAGGGGCCCATTGCATAATTTGAGTTCCTAAGTGAATGGAGGATCTCACTCATGTAGATTACCTGTCTGCTCTTGAACTTGCTGAGCAGGGGGATGGACTAGATGACCTCCAAGGTCCCTTCCAACTTTTTTTATTATTACTATGATGATGATGATGTAAGGGTAAAATTCTGACAGAAGTGTTGATACTGAACCCAGATCCAACCACAGGGCTCAGCTACTTTCTTCATATATTTCTTGAGAGTGAGCACATTTAAAAAAATTTAAAGGGGAAAGCCACAGTTTGGAGCCCTCAGAGTATCTCAAAAATATTTTTTTTATTTTTGGATGGAATTCTATTATTTGCATTTAATCTGATTTGATTTTAGTTAAAGCTACATGAAATTTTTATTTTTATTTTTCATCCTGGGCTGAGCCACTTTGTCTTGACCTTACTCATTTTTGGAAGTTGAATTCTTGGTATACCATTTAAAGGACAACTGTGGGCCTTTGTCTGAAAAAAATATTCTGCACCCTTGCTTGAAATGAATGTTAACGTTGAGGTATGATATTTGTATTTTGTGTATATTGTATATCGTTTTTGCTCTCACCTGGAAATGCATTGATATCAATGACTGCATGCTGACCAGTCTGATTATTAATGATAATGTCAATGCCAAAGAGAGAAATCCCCAAAGTCTGCCTTAGTGTCTTTGAGATTGCTTGGATGACGTCGTCATTTGGTCTCTCAAACACCCCTTCTATTTTATCAAGCTGCAAAAAAAAAGAGAGAGAGAGAGAATGAAATTGTAGAGGGATATTAAAGAAAAAACAGGTATCCTCACATTTCCTCCAGACATGAAATACATCATCGGCAGAAACCACAGATCAGTATTTTAAAAGGTCTGAAATCTTGCCAAATCTTTGGGGACAAAATGTCAACTTTAAGGCGGCAGGGCTAGCAGAGGCCATGGACTGCAGGACAGTCAAATGGGCAAAGATGCGGAGGGGCAGAGAAGTGGGTGGGTGGGAGAGCTGAAACCCCCCCTGTGATCGTAAGCGCAGATGAGCTGGAACAGCCCCAACTTTGGGGATCAGGTATATGGACCATTCACCCAGAGACTCTGTAATTTTGATTAGTCGTTGAATGAATGGTTATTTACTAAGTATCATAATTCCTATGTTTCAAGGAAAGCCAAACATTTTCATATATGTTGGTGAAAGATTTTGGATGATTCTGAGCTTCTGCTTTCCTGCAATAATTCCTAAAATAAACCTGAAAAGGTTTAAATTGAGAGGAGCCTATTGTCAGAATCAGAATTTGGAGAAAGAAGTCTGGAATACTTACTGCTGTTAAGATGGAAGAGGATTCTGGTTTTGATACATTGTGGCTGTTGAAAAATATTGATTCTCTATCTATAGATTGGAAATTAAAGAAAAAAAACTATAAGTTACAAACAAATCTGTAGAACTAAAAAAAAATTACATGCAAGTAACAAACAATTGCTTTTAAATGTTACATTCAAAATCACCACTTAAGTCCTAAAAATATTTGAATATACAAACACTAGAGGGCACTATAATCCAGCAACTTTATATTTTCAACAAATAAAATCCTTGGATTTTACACCATTCCTATTTGTATTGAGCTCTAATCAATTGCCATAATACAATGTCCTGGCTTCCATAATTGACGAGGAAATAATAGCTTTGTTGCATAAAGGAGTAGAGTTTTTAACAGGTTTATTTATTTATTTGAAACAATAACAAAGCAAAACAAAACATGGAAGAAATGACAGGAGCTGCTAGGGGTACCTGCGTTGATGCTGGCTTCAAAAAATAATAATAATAATTCAGCAATGAAATAAGAAGAAGCAATGCCTTTTAAGAGTTTGTGCTGCTTGTGCCCAGTCACTGAGCTGTAGACAGGTTGTTTGTGATCATCGAAGAACATCTTGTACATTTATCGGGTGAGGGATGTCTGTAAGATACACTCAGCAGCCTTCTGTTTGGGCTAATTTTTGTGAAGCTATTTTTTCTGTTGTTACTTTGCCAATAGGTTTGCCTAGAACTCTGATTAACACACCCCTCTTTGACTTCCACCTCTTGGTCTGTGACTTACAATTTGTCCTATCCTGCTGGTATATATCTCCATTCCAAGCCCATTGGGAGATGCTGTAGAAGACATGACCTGGTGTCTGGAGGCTGTCAGGGTCTGGATGGGGAAAAACAGGCTCAGACTTAACCCAAACCAAATGGAGTGGTTGTTGCTCCAGAGGCCAATTTCTCCATCTTTGATTTGATGGGATTATGCTCCACTATGCACCGAAGACAGTTACTCGTGCCCGTCAATTCATTCTACATAGGGAAATGCTTGAATCATCCAGAAATTTTGGGTGGTCAAGAATGAACATATTACAGCACGTATACCCAGAGGCCAATTACAATACTGGCATATTACACCACTGCTGTGGGAGTTGCACTGGTTACTAGAAAGTTTGTGAGTGTCATTCAAAGGGCCAATCGCTATAAAGCTTTTATGAGTCTCTGGGCCACACCGTAGAGACTGTTTTTTCCCATATGGCTTCAAGCTGTCCCATGTGAACTAGGGAGCACCAAAGGATCCCTATATATCAGGGGTAGTCAACCTTGGCTCTTTTATGACTCGAGGACTTCAATTCCCAGAATTCCTTGGCCAGCAAGCCAAGATTGACTACCCCTGCTATATATCAAGAAATACAATGGGAGGTGACCTGATAAGAAATGTTCTCTGCAGCAAAACCTCCTTTGGAACCGATTGCCCCCTGAAACAAGGATAGCATCCATCCTTATGGTTTTTCAGAAGCAAGTGACCACATGGCTCTTCCAGAAGACCTTGAGGGTTTATAGTCAGTGGTGCCAAACCAAATGCCAAATTAATTTGTAGTTATGTAGCAACTCTAATTTGGAGAAATAGATTGTGAGCTTTATTATATAATTGATTTTAATATTAATTTTGCACTGTCTTTATACAAGAAATCCTGCAAGCTGTTAGATTTCAAGTAGTAGATCAATCACATAGAGAAATTAAGAAATCAAGAGTTTCTGATATTGCAGCCCATTTGCCCATGTAAGCAATTAGTCATATCTGAAGTACTCCTAAAAGAATGAAGATGTATTCATTGATTCATTGGAAATAAGCACAAGATGAATTATTTTCTAGCCATTGAATTCATCATCCCAAGTTTTCGTTTCAGGTGTCAACTGAAACATTAAAAAAATAAAGGTGTACTTTTTGGCTAAAGTAAAGTGTGCGTTGGTTTAAAACTTACAACAGAATATGTATTTAAACTGAAAACGTGGATAAGGTTATAACAAACAACCCTAAAGATTATTGATTATTGATTAACAAGTATATATGAAACTGCTTCCAATGTTTTTTTATTACACTACATAAGCTAAAACAATACAAAAAAGCACAGCATAAAGATACAAAAGGCAAGAGGAAAAGCAGAACATAAGTAAAAACATTGCGAAATGTAATTTTGGTAACATATTCTCTCTTCCCTTCCATTCTCTTCCCCAATCACTACACACAATTTCAATATTTATGTTATGATTTTATTATTTAATATTAAACTTTAGACATTTTTGCTTATGTCTGTTTGTAATTTATTTGTTGTTTTAAATTAGTCTCTTTTTCTAAAAGCCATATTCCAAAGGTCTGAATATGCCTTGCTGAGTAATGCACTGTATATAAGGGAGCCTTTCCTGCTTAAATTTGATTAATTTTTTTATTATGAATACATATCGTCAGTTTTGTTATTGCTGCCTGTTCACCAGTTCAGGTGTCCTGCTCTTGCATTGTTGGCACAATGTTACTTTCCCAATGTTGTCATTCTTGCCATTGGCAGCATATAAATAAAATGTATCAAACTTATTAAAATATATTTTCTGGAATTATTCCCCAAATTGTAGGAAATTCCAACATCCCAATTGGGAACAGCTGACAGTCTTATTATTTCTGTCTTTGGGTATGATTCTTTAAAAGTCATTGATATTAATGGGTATTACTACAATATAGAAAACAGAAGTCAAAAATTAACTTTGCATGTATGAAGAAAAAAAACTAAAATAAATATTCATATTGCTAAAAACTAGAATCGTAAATCTATTTTGAATGTGACCATTCTACAAGGGAACTTTTTGAAGGTACTGAAAGAATGTGGGAATAATTTTATTATTAAAAAGGTATAATTCAGTTAATGGAAGGAACAGTTTTTAAATATGATATTCAGTACATAATCCCTCTATTTATGTACCATTTAAACTTCAGTTGAATAATATACTGACTGAAGATTGCAAGGTTATCTGTGATAAATATTTTAAGTGCTATATGAGTGCTGACTATTTAAACAAAAAACAAAAGCAGGATTAACATTTGGACGAGAAACTACTAGGAATGACCACAGCTGTAGTAAAAAAAAAATAAAAATCCCTGAAGAATTCAGTGATAAATCACTTTTATAATCTTAAGAAAATGGTATGTATAGTAGAATTGTACTGAACTAAAAAGAAAACTAAAGTTTTCATACCAATTGTAATCATTTTTGATATTATGGTTTGTTATCTAGTTGTGTATTACTTTTTAGATTTTGTGACTTTAGCAATATTTTTTTAATTTCAACTTGCTATTTTGCATACTTGCCTTTGGATAAAATATTTATAAATCAACATAGCATATTTGACAGTGATTCAACATAAATAATTAAATAAAAGTGGATCTATTACAGCTTCCAAAAATGTTTTCTTCATAAGGAGTAAAGAAAAAAAATGAAATCACAGAACATTTTAACTCACGTGCATTTTTCTTGAATGATATACCACATAACCAGACCATCTAAATCAGTGGTTCTCAACCTGTGGGTCGGGACCCCATTTGGGGTCGATCGACCATTTCATGGGGGTCATCAAGCAAGGCTGTCCGCCATTTTTTTTGTCCGCCATTTTTTCCCCCTTTTCTGGCGGGTGCCTTATCTCCCTTGGGCTGGGCCAGCTGGTGGTCGGCCTGCTCCGTCTCTGCCGCTTGCCAGCTACGCCTCGGCCAGCGCAGGGGGCGGAACCACGCATGCACGGTGCTCCCGGGCAGGGAAAGTCCTCGACTTACGACCGGTTTAATCCTCGACTTACGACCAGTTTATTCCTCGACTTACGACCAGTTGGGGTCGCGGCATTAAAAAGGTTGAGAACCACTGATCTAAATATTATGAACCAATTTTAAGAATTTCATTAGTATGATTTCAAGCAAACTGCATATGAATAAGATGTCAAAGCCTTCACGAAAGATCACAATATAATCAATCAATCAATCATATTTATATAGTTGCCCTTTTCACAAAATGTGACTCTGGGTGCTTACAATAAAGTTCGGGTGGAATGTGTCATACAGGGAATTTTTTTCCAAAATTCTTAGAGGAAGAGTTGAGTAGAGATGATCAGGGTCAAGTATCAAATAGAATTTGAAACCAACTGCATCCGGCCACTGATTTATGATGCCATAATCTCAAAACCTCTATGGAAGCTAGACAGGGTTAAAAGCCTGTAGGAGCTCTTCTGCTTCCATCTTGACTTGCTTATTTTAGGAAGAAGTCTGTAATGTCCTCCCCTTTTTCTCCAGTTTTAGATTAGTACTTTGGTACATAAATTTGAATGCCCGTAGCAGCTATTGGCAAGAACAGTTGCTATCTCCCAAAGAAATTACTGCTACAATGGTTTGGGGGAGGGGATAAGGGAGAAATTGAAAAATATCAAAAGTACAAAAAGCCGGGGAAACACTGAGTTCAATCTTCCTCAACCTGACGTCCTCTATGTGTTTTGGATCAGGACTCACCAAAATGTTGTTCTTCAGATTTTCCCACTAGTACACCATGTTGAATTACCACTTCCAAAGCTTACCAGAAATGCCTGCTGAGAAGTTCTTCACAGAGGGCCTCTTCACCACAGTATATGACTCCCCAACCACAAAGACTTTGTACAGGACAGCATTGTGGTTGATGAAACTTTGAATCACACATGGAGGCTGAATGGCTTTCAGGCCTTCCCGGTTGAATATGATAGCCATCTGAAAAATGAAGATACGACTTGCAATTACAGTCATACAGATGAAAAATACATGTTTCACATAAACAAGCATTGCATTGGTGGTTCCAATAGCAATATGCACAGCATGCATGCACACATACATACAATTATTTGCTGCTGCTATCAGTGGCGTTAGTATACATTCAGATGGTTTTAAAAGGGATTAGACAAATTGATGGAAGATTGGGTTATTGGTGTTTATTATTTTTGATTAGACATAGCAAAACGTAAAGACAAGCTACTAGGGAGTAGGAATAGAAGAACATTATTGCTTCCCTTTCTTTTTTTGTCAGCTTCTTGAATGCAGTTGCTTGATCAATGTGGAACACATAATGTTGAAGTGTTTATGATACTGGCTTGATCCAGCAGAACTCTTCTTATGCTTTTATGCCAAGTATTCAGATAAACTGGGGAGGGGAGGATGGAGAGAAGATGCAGAACTGTGCTATCCAATTGGAAACACTTGGCATTCTGTCTCTCCAACTTGCAGCTTATTTCTTATTTAGCCTTTTCCCCAAATTTACTTAATTATGCTTATCTACTGCTTCCTTATGCCAAAGCATCTCAAAATGGTTTACAATAAAATATAGAATAAAGCAATTATGTAATGGGATGGAAATGGTAATAGTCATCCTATATGACCATCATAGATCCCTTATTGAGTCAGGATATTTCTCTTGCTCTTGTGAGAACCTTTGGCAGCATTTAAAAACACTATCCATGGTATCTGGAGGGTCACCTATGTGAGTTGGGCGTACTACACTTCAGTGCTTCTGCTCTTATCTGAGTGAGAATATCCAGTCTGGATTACTGGAGTGAGGAAGATGACAATTCTATGGTTGCTCCAATGGAAACCTGAGGGTTTGGTGCTCCCCCCTATATTATTTAACATCTCTGTGAAACTACTGAGAGAAATCATCTACCAAATTGAGATGCCTTTAGAGATGACCTAGAAGTTGCAGCTGGTTCATAAGTGGCAATTGAACCAATGACAGGGTAACTCATCACTGCAGGTCGGTACCATTGTCAAAGTCTTCCCACTAGTTGCCAGTAGGCTTCTGATCTCAACTCAAAGTGCTGAACATACATTATAAAGTCCTATGTAGCACTGCATTATGTTAGAGAAGGCATTCCTTTGCCAGACTTAAACCCATTCATGAAGTAGAAACACCATCCCAGCCTCCCATTTTAAGAAGACTAAGTGGCAGGACTTTTCTATTTAATCCCCATATTTTCAAATGCCTTCTCTTCATAGGCTTTTGTAACCCCCCTCCCTCAAATTCTGGCATTTTATAAAGCTGTCAATATCCTATTCCATTTTTGTTTTTACCCAAGTCGTCATTATTTAATGGCTATCATCTTGGGATATTTATTCATTCTATGTTTTTTTCTTTTATGTTCTATTTTGACAAATGCTGCCTAAAACCTGTGCGTTAGGATGGATTACAAAATTGCAAATAAATAAACAAATGGATGGATGGATGGATGAATGAATGAATGTGTATGAGTATATATAAATGGCCTTCAAAATGAGAGAAAAATAAATTTTCAATGTTAATGAAGCCATGAGGATATGAAGAATGACTTCTAAGTATGCATGAGAGACAAGAATCAACTCTCCTTACTTTTCCTTGAAGTTTATGAATCAAATTCACAGATGGACTACTATAATTTTTCTCTTAATGCCCAGCCAAGGCAGTTTTTCTAAATACACATTATATGAAGCCTTGTGCAAATACTTACCTCATGAGAGTTGGTTCCATGGGCGACTCTTGTCTTACAAACTTCAGTAACAAAAAAGGTAAATTGTGAGTCAGTACAAAAGAATATACACATGGCACTTCAGTATTTCTAACAACTAATGCTAATGATTTGGTTAATCCACCCAACTGGATGGTATTCACCCTATGGTTGCCCTTCCCCTAAAACCAGCCTTCTCTCATCTTGGCATTTTCAGAAAATAAGATCGGGTCTTATTTATTTATTTATTTATTTATTTATTTAGCCTCCAAAAGAGGCACCAAATCTTGTTTTCAGGAGATATCTTCTATATTCACCTCTGGCACCGACAGCCCCGCCCAGCAGGTCCACTTCTTCTGCGGCCGAAGGAGCAGCGTCATTCTGCAGCTGTATTCCTGCCTGTATTTTGCAATCAGGCCTTTTTGGAAGGCCTCTGTAGCCGAGTACTATAGCTCAGTTCTCAGCTGCAGAGGTCTTGCAGAACTGAGCTATAGATTCAATCCATAGCTCGGTTCTCAGCTGCAGAGGTCTTGCAGAACCGAGCTATGGATTGAATCCATAGCTCAGTTCTTGGCTGCAGTGGCCTTCTGGAAAGACCTGTGACTGAGAAATGCAGGCCTGGCTACAGAAGAACGCCACAGAAGAAGTGGGCCAGCAAGGAGAGGTCTGGCTGCGAGGTAAGTGGGTGCAGTGCGCGTGAGGCAGCTCCACCCCCCCACTAGCTCGATTTTTAGGTATGTGCCTCGCCCTAAAACTAGGGCTTATTTTTGGGGTAGGCCTTACTTTTGGGGAAACACGGTATCTATTCAATTGTATTTATATTCCTATCTTTCCTCTAAGACAGTGTTTTTCATATTTACAACAAATTTAAGAAATGTGAATTTCAAATATGCTAGTTAGAGAATTCTGAGAGTTGAAGATCACAAACATTTTAACATAATCAAAGGTGAGAAACACCGCTCCAAGAGATGAGGTAGTTTACATGGGGATCTTCTCTAATCTTATTCTCACAATCACCTTGTCAGATCGACTAGTCTGAGAGATGGCAACTGACCTGAAATAATACAGTAAACTCCTTATTAAGCTGGGGACTTGAATATGGATGTTCCCAATTAGTCCATCACTTTAGCAGCTGCACTACACTGTACTATATGTAGCCACTGTTTCTCCTTCAAGAGCTTGCCACTATAATTCAGTGACAAATTGTTGAAGTTCTTGAACTTTTGTTAATGAAAATCAGTGAGAATAGATAGGTTAAGTCTTTGATAGCTATGTTAATTCTATTGGAACATTAATGCACCTGTTATTTATTTAAAAAGGTCTTTCCAAATAAAGCAAAATGAAAAGGGATGGCTTTTTGGAGAGTGGCATCTAAAATATAGAAGAGCACTGCTAGAGAAATTTGCCTTGTTTAATCCTTATGGTCTATTGACATTACTAGAGCCATTTAAATACTGATAGTCTGAGACTCTCAATTTAAAATGAATATTTTCATTGTTCTATAGTTTAATATATTAATGTTGCATATTACTAACTTGCCCAGAGAACTTATACTTACATTAATGTATAGTAGTACATTTAATATACTATAATAAATGTTATACTAGAATAGAATACTTTATTGGCCAAGTGTGATTGGACATACAAAGAATTTGTCTCCAGTGCATAAGCACTCAATGTGCATACAAACTACGAAGTAATGTAATTATAAGATAATCGTACATCTAAGATTCATATGTTAGTATAGCATACCTAAAATGGAAAAAAAAAATCTCAATTTGCCAGAATATTACTCTGTAGTTTTAAATGGGCATTAGGGCCTTTTTCTAATAAATCAACACAAACATTATGCATATTGAAATAAAAAGAGACACTTCCAAAATAACTTTGATAATTCATCTTCTAAATAGAGGCAGAGAAAATGAAAAAGAGAAAAATAACATACTATACTATAGAAAGAAGGATTTTATGCACAATATGCGCGCAGAGCCTTTACAGATTTTTAAAGGAGGATCAAACAAACTCATGGAAGAAAACATTAGCCATTGAATTCCGATTATCACAGAAAGCTGTATTGTCCTCATGTTCTGTTTAAAGACTTCAGGAAAGTGTTTGCTTGGTCTCTAGGTATGATGAGTAGTGGATCAGATAAAACACTGACTTAATCTAGCAGGACTGTTTATATCTGAATAAGCCATCTTTCATTGTCACCATGAAAAATACTGTATTTTCAAACTTAAAAGAACTAAAATAGAGTACAGTTAGATCCATAGTTTATTTTTAATAGAATGAGAGCATATAATTTTAATAGAATGAGAGCATATAATTTTATGTGCTTTTATATTATCTTATGTACCTTTGGAGCAAGTTTGCCTAATCCAGCATGTACTCCAGCCACAAGCTATCTGCCATGCAAGTCCCCTCTTTCCCCCAAGAGTACTTAGCTAAATTGCATTGATTTCAGTGGCAGTGGAGGAAATGCTCTACAACTTTACTGTTAAGCAAAATATAAAAACGGTTTACATACTGAATGGGAATGCAATTCCATTTTTTTCTATTTGCTTCAAGGTGTCTTCTCCACATGCATTTGTTAGTTCCATAAATGGAGGAGAACAGATTCTGTCATCTGAAGAAAAGAGATGGAAAAAACAATCCAAACAGTTTATAGGTGTTTTCAGTTTATCCCAGTTCGTGCTTTCTACACTGTAAGTACCCTTCAATTTTACCCTGCTCGTTTCAGCATTTTCTATAATATGATGTCATCTGAAAAAAGTATTTTGTTCATCTGGTTGATTAAAGCTTCTTGTCTTTCCAACAAAACATTGTTGCTCATATGTGCAATGGTTGTGTACACAAATCTAACTGAAAACTGTATCTTAGCAAAATTACAAAAAAAACTAATGAAAATTATCTCCAAAACAAGTATTTAAGTCATATCAATTTTATCTTGCAACACTATTCCAAATGTTTTACTCACAAGAAAAATGCTTAATATACCATTTCCCAAATACAATAATTTTTTGAGGGAGAATCCACATCAAACTGATGCCAAACTGATGACAACATCACACAATGATACACTTATTTGCATCCAAACATCAATGCAAGTACATGTCAGAGCATTTGCATAATGTCATCACACACATTATCATTTGCCTCCTTGTGGATAACAATGATAAATTTAAACAACAAATCCATTAAGTAGAAGAATCTGTCTATAAAAGCAGTTGGATCATCTGACAGCAAAGAAATTTAACTCTATTAAATTCTTTTTTGTATCTGTCTTTAGTTTAAAAGCTATAGAACAGATCCTTCTTCTTCAGAAGGGTATAGTCAGAGCTGATGTAAATATTTTATTAATTGTTAAATTTATTTACTGCTTATCTCACTGTGGGGCTACTCTAGATGGCTTATAACAGTGATGGCAAACCTTTTAGAGACTGAGTGCCCAAACTGCAACCCAAAACCCACGTATGCATCGTCGAGTGCCGGCTGAGTGTGGCCCATTGGCTGGGTGTGGGCATGGCCAGTTGGGTGGGCATGGCTGCAGTGGTAACGGCAGACTGGGTGGGACTAAAAAGTTCAATCAATCAATTCCAACTTTGCAAGAACTTTTTTTTTCCTGCGAGAAGTTGAAATTGACTGATTGAACCTTTTTTTTTTTGCACATGGCGGCGGACGCCTAAAGCGAAAAGGTTTTATAAAACCCAGCTGAAGGCCTAGGACTGGGGCGACAACGTGCGTGCCCACAGAGAGGGCTCTGAGTGCTGCCTCTGGCACCCGTGCCATAGGTTCGCCACCACTGGCTTATAACAATAAAAATGAAGAAATGAAGGGTGTGAACAGAAGTAAGATAATAGAACAATAAAATAAACAATGAAAAAGAACACAGTGAGAGACACAACTATATGATATCAAAATAGAAAGATGGAAGGGGAGAGAGCAGACAAGGGGGGGATTCTAAATTCTAAACAATTCTAAAAGATGAAGTTGCAAGGATATTGTTTTTAAAAATCTTCCAGGTCCATGCACAGTAGTTTTCTTAAAGGACTATATGAATGTTGTGAAGGGTGTATCCAAATAATATCATTCAAAGTAAACTGGGAAAAACATTTATTAAACATATCAATCACACAGAAGAAATCTTATCAGTCTTTTCCTCCATCTCCAAAAGCAAAACTGCAAAAATGAGATTCTACATGAAAACAGCCCATTATACATCAGTAATGTATGATGTCCAGTACAGAATCAGAGAACAGGCAGACCATGTTCTAAATACCAGTTTCAGAAAAGCCTCATGAAAGAATAAGGCAATGCTGGAATCAGTGACAAGGCTTTAGGAACAACAGAACTGGGACTGACCAGTCTACTTTTTAGTTTTTGTTTGAGATTTAAACTGGGACAGCTCTCTTTTCAAAAAATAAGGCTGTTCCTAATACTTATGTAGACTTTAAAAAAAATAACAGCACTACCATTTCTGATCTTATTTATAAAGAGTTTCAAAGAGCAGGTATATGAATCCCCTTGGACACGTGGACTCCTTGAATAAGATGGAGAAAAAAGGCACGAACTTGCACTAGATTATGATTCATTCCCCTTTAATGTTTTTTTTTTAAATCCAAAAATTCTGTCGGAGCTTGCCACAAGTTTGGAACTTTAGCAAAGCACTTCATGCAAATTAAACAGCTTCTTACTTGATATATTCTCAAACTTGCCTTTTTTAAGTTATTCAATAATTGTAAACAAAGGATATACATTGTATAATTAGAAAAAGATAATTATTTTAAATTCTAGGTGTTAACTGCAGTTGCATATACTTAAACCAAATGTATGATCCATGAAAACTTCATTGCTAGCAAAGCAGAAGCTTGTATATTAGATAAATTAGATAAATAAACCACTCACAGAAAGCTTGAGGTTTTAAATTGCTAAACTCCAGGAAGCTTTAAAAAATGTGATAAAGTTATACAGAATTCCATTTATCTAAAGCATTAGTTTTTCAAATTATTTAGCATTAATGGTAGTTTTCATTAAGATCTTTTGCAAACCCTTTGATGGATGCAGACAAATTGTCCAGTACTACTTCTGATGCCAGAAATTTTTTTTTCTGTTTAAAAAAAATATCCTAAGGGCAATTTTTGCCATATAGACATTAAAAAAATGGAAATATTTCTCACTGCCAGCAACTCCTAGATGTATAAGGTGACTAAAATGGGTTTTATGGTTTTTTTTAAAAAAGACCTGATTGTATCTAATCTGAGATCTACTGATTTAAGATTGGTTGGGCTTAGATTTATATATTTCAATTTATATATTTCAATAGCTTAAATATATACAGGCTGTATTAAAAGTCAGACCCCATAATAAACAAAATCAGGCCTCATGGAAATAATATACATATACATACATACATACATACATACATACATACATACATACATACAGGTAGGTAGATATAGATATATACTATATTACATTAAATGTTTGACTTGATTGCCATTTTCTTCTAGCATAACTCTTTGATGCATCACATTCATAGTGCATTAACATTTTCTCTGGAAAATAATATTAATAAATAAAATATTATGACTGGTCTATGGGACCTTGGTACACTGTATATATATAAAGATAAACCCAAGCTCAGCCAATTGGACCAGGAGATTTTAGGTATCATTCTTTCTTAAGAAATTGTAGAGAATCACAGATATAATCTTGGAAAAACTACTTGACTGCAGTTAGAAAAACATGATTTAAATCCAGGGCAGGAAGAAAATATTAGAAGGAAATTCAGATCAGTTCCGGCTAAGTAAGAGAAGGGAGGGAGGAATGATGCTGTCATGGCTTTCAAGATTTGGTTACTATAACCTGTAAAAATAGAGTCCCAGTCATTCTGTGGAGTCTGTTTCCTGATTTGGCCTATGCAGATAGTCCTCAATTTATAAGGGCAATTCAGACCAGAATTTCTGTTGCTAAGCAATGTGGTAATGAAGCACAACTGCATTGCTCAGTGATGGCAATCCCTGCAGCCTTAGTTGCCAGTAAAGAAGTCAGTGCTTTTATGCTATTAAAATGATTAAAAATGAACTGCAGATCTAAATGTATTGCAAGGTTCAGGCCTGCAGCCAGTTGCATCCAGATGGGGGAGTGTTGGCAAGGGTTCACTAGAAGTGCAGCGGGGCTGCACTGGGAAGGGTGCATGAGAGGCACTGGGACTGCATGAGAGGCATTGCATGGATTGGGGAGGATGCACGAGGGCACAAAGGTGTGTGCCAGAGGCATCATGCATACTGAAGGCTGGGGAGGGTGTGAGGATGTGCACAAGAGGTGGGGCTTGGTGAGTGTGCATGAGGGTGCAGTGCAGGTTGGGGAGGGTGTTTCAAAGAAGACATGGGGAGTGTTGTGGAGGGTGCCTGGGGATGTGTAATGGCATGACACAAGTACCAAGAGTGGGGGAGACTTATCCAAGTGACTTATGATCTTCCCTGCCCACTTCCCAAATTATTTTCTGGGGAAGCTGGCAGGGAAAGTTACAAATGGCAATCCCACGATCATGGAGTGCTTGGCAACCAGTCATAAGTGTGAATGGGTTGCCAATCACCCAGATTGTGATCTGTGTGCTGGGACAGGTGGAAATCCAAGGACTGGTTATAACCACCATTTAGGGTAACCAAATGGGTTGCGCCCATCATTGAAGAAAGATTAACAGTAAAATGGGGAGATTCACAAACTAAAACAAGTTCATTGTAAAGTCTGAATGTATTTAGAAAGGAGAGATCATTTTATGGTTTTACTGTGGGGTTCTTAAGATATTGACTCAAATATTGCACTCTGCATTTGATCTTCACCAATTGGACTGTTTGGATTATGGAATATCTACAGTTCATGACTACATAGAAATGTGAAGGATGAGGAACGTTTCTAGGCTTTGCTTATTTCTATTTTAATCTATTAAAATGTTTAAAAATAAACTGCAGATCTAAATGTATTGCAAGTCTCAGGCCTGAGTTGCTTCTACAAAGTATGGAACTATGATACTGTTAATATAATTATGTAATAATAAATTAGAAATCCAGTTTTGTGCAATAGTTAAAGTATTGGTCTAGAAACCAGGAAACTGAGTTCTAGTCCTGCCTTAGGCATGAAAAACCAGCTGGGCCACTCTTTCAGCCTAGCTTATCTCACAGCAATGTTATAGGGAAAATAGGAGGAAGGAGTATTGGTATGTTCACTGCTTTGAGTTGTATATGAAAGAAAGTCAGTATCAAAATCTAAAACGAAAAATTGCTTGCAGAAAAGACAACATTCCAGTAATTGAGGCACTTCCAAGACAGCACAATCTACATAGCAGGGGTCTTCAAACTTGGCCCTTTTATGACTTGTGGACTTCAACTCCCAGAATTCCTCAGCCAGGCATGCTGGCTGGGGAATTCTGGGAGTTGAAGTCCACAAGTCATAAAAGGGCCAAGTTTGAAGACCCCTGCTATACAGTTATCCATAGATACCTGTGGGATTTGGAAGTTCTGCAGAAAATACAATCTCTCACACCCTGGCAAATCAAATGGGCACAATTTTTCTCTCGTTTCAGTTTTCATATCAAATGTGTACTCCTGGCTCACAGAACAGACT